AGATTATGTGTCAGAGAAACATCCTCATTACCAGTGTTTGCATGGCCGCCTTTCTTGTCAAGACGCTTGCTACTGTGTTAGTTAGATTGTCAAAGTGTCGAGCAAGTGTCGAGCATGCGCAAATGCCGACGCCCCAAAGAAGCGCACGGCCTTGTTGGTCGTTTAGGGTAGGGTTTGGGGTCTGGAGTTTAGGGTTTATGGTTTACGGTCAGTGGCGTGTGTCAGTCATGTCGGTCGTGTCGGTCGAGGCCGCAGATCAACAAACACGCAGGAGAACTCACAGAAACTCACCGGTCGCCCCCTGAACACCATCCCGCATGGGGCCTTGGCAGTTTGGGTTTTGGTCTAGGTCATTTCATTCAGCTTTCGTGACAGCACATTTGTTGAGCCTGTCAGGAGCAGGTCAGCGAGCTGGAGGAGAAACTCCAGGAAGTGGCAGCCAGCGAAGCGAAAGCCAAGAAGAACGCCCAGATGCCCCTTAGATGAATGGGGACCAAGTGAATCTTATACTTGGGTTCATAGACCCTTTACATATATATATATATTTTTTTTTTCTACTACTGTAATTCCTATGAATTACGGTAAACCCTTTTAAGTCCCCAACGGTTAGATGCATGTTTGAAGCAAACTGGGGTAGGGTCGCGGCCCGAAGCAAGACTTCCCGGTGCTCAGGTACTCCGATCTGCGAGACGATGCCGAGGAGCCCAGCAAGCTCATTCAAGTTTGCTGATATTGTTACTGTATGACTGTATTGTTGCATTAATGTATTATGGTATGATTGTATTGTTGTATTATTGCATTAATACATGACTGTTTTCGTACATGTGTCGACGATCCTGCGCATCGGGAGGTGAGAATCCTCGAGCTGGAACAGTCGCTTCACCAGATGTCAGACAAGCTTCAGCAGGCGGAGGAGGAGAACGCAAGACTTGTGAGGCCAATCGAAATCACATCACACGGCCTCGTTCGACGTAATGCTTTGGCTTTGTCATTTTGCGAGGCATGATTAGCTGGGTTCCTCTTCGAAGCTACATTGTTTAGATTGTCATGTTGTTTCAGTTTTGTTGTTATACCTTTTTAAAGCAAGGTTACTACGATGTTATAGACATTTTTTGATTTATCATTACTTCGTTATATAGATATATAGCTAGATAGCTATGTTTATGAAGTTAAGTAAAAATATTATTTCGTATTTTGTTATTTTTTTGACATACTCGTTTGTATTGTAATATATGTTATGGAATTATTACTATGGACTAGTATGGATGATTATGGATCATTATGATTGTTATGCTTCGTTTTTGTTATTCTTATTATTTTTATTATTGTAATTCATGATTATGATGATGATACAGATGATGATGATGATGATGATTATTATATAATATACATATATATATATAATTATCACCATCATCATTATTATCATTAGTATCCTTGCTATGATAATTGTTCTTATACACATATATATATAATATACATACATGTTCCTATATCCGTATATTCATTTGTTATACATGTTATGTGATTTTAATATACTATTATGGGATTGGCTTATGTTTTTAAATGAGTATATTAATATGCCATGATATGATTCTGATATTGTATGACTATATCACTACATTTAGCATGGTATTAAATTCCTGTATTATTTTAGTATTGTATTGTTTGAATAGTACTCTGTTATCCTAGTTTTTCCAATTATATTAGTACATCATTACCATTGTTATTTTTATTAGGCATCATTTGTATTATATTGTTACAGTATTGTATTCTACATGATTGCAGGGATTAGTCGAAAGTGGGCCACGGTCCTGGGAATCTTGTAAGGACTGGTCATGCCCTAGGAGGTCCAGTGTCCTAGAAATGTTCAGGCCAATGTCTTCGACTGACGTGACCCCCTAAACCCCAAACCCTGAACCCTAAACCCTAGCCCTAAACCCTAAACCCTACAAGTGTTTGGAGGCTTAGGGCGTGCGCGGTTGCACACGCGCGCTGTGGCAGAGTGGGGTGATGACAAGAAACACTGACTTGGCCATCGCGCGCAGGGACGCAGACAAGCAGCAGAAGCCCGATGAAGCAGTCAAGAAGCTCAAGGCCCGAGGTTAAACCCTACCCATAAAGCCTCCAAATCCGGTCCTTTACCCTATACACCCAAAACCACTTGGAGCCGAAACCCCCTCGCGGACAGTGGATGCGGGATTCACTTGCCGGCTTCCTTAATGCGCACGGTTCCTGTCCCAGGACACCGTTACCATCTTGAAGGACGCCCTGTGCTCCAAAGATGCAGAGATCATCTCGAAGGGTGCCCAAGTCGTGGACACCATGTGCCGGGGACTGCTTGGAACTTTGCTGCACCCACCGTTGCAAGAACAATGACTGATAGAAGAATGCAATAGTACAAGAATACCATAACACTATAATGTAAAGGTATGGGTAATACAGCTAACACACTAGTGTAAAGTATGGGTAGTACAGTCGTAGAATCGTAAGTAGGACGACGGCATTGCAACGTCAAGCGATCTGCCAGGGCGTGCCTCAAGACCGTGGAGGGAGAGAACCGGCGCCTGCAAGCGGAACTGCAGGCCGGACCAAGAGATTCTTATACTAAGGTACCAAAATTACGAATGTGCTAATTATGCGAATATGCTCATGTACGAATATACGAATATACTAGTATGCTCATATACATATATATATATATATACGAATATATGGATTTGCCAATATCACAATACTGAAACAATATCCGGGCTACGTCGGTGTTGACGTCGGTTGTTAGAAAAATGGGAGGCGGCAGCAAAAGAAAAGGGCAAGCTGCAGCAGGACCACAATCGAGCTCTTGAGGAGGCCACTGTTTTAGGGTTTAGGGTTTAGGGTTTAGGGTTTATGGCTGTAGTTTGGGATGTTCCCCCCCTATCCTAACAGTCCTTACTTGGGATCATAGTATCCCCCCCCCCCCCTATTGTAATCTGCTAGTATAAGGGGGGACATCCCAAGCTTAGGGTTGTAGTAGTTACTACGGCTCTATGACTCTATGAGTTCTTGCCCTTGGGTCAGGTCGACAAGCTTAAGGCTCAGATGCAGAAGAAGGCCGCAGTTGCGCATCTGAAGCACTGTGAAGCACTTTGTTGGAAGTTGCTTTGGTCAGTTTCGGGCTGCATGGGGGTCAGTGACAGTGTGTGGGATGTTCCCCCCATATACGAACAGTCCTTAATCGGGACTCGAGTACCCCCTATTACAATCCTCATTAAGGACTGTTATCTTAAGGGGGAACATCCCAACCCTAAACCCTAAACCAAAAAAAAAACCTTTCATTGCGGCAGGATGCGGAGGAAGACTTCATCAAGCTTGGCTGGAACAGCGAGGGCGAAGTGGAAGAGGTGACAGAGGCAGCACCTTCACCGCGTCATCACCTGCACTGTTTAGGGTTTACGGTTCAGGGTTTAGGGTTTAGGGTTTAGGGTTTAGGATACGCTGCTGTGAACCGAGGCCTGCTGTAAAAAGGGTTTAGGGTAACCACAGGAGTGCGGATGCAACACAGGGTTTTTAGGGCTTAGGGCTTAGGGTTTAGGGTTTAGGGTTTAGGGTTTAGGGTTCAGGGTTTAGGGTTTAGGGTTTAGACATGACGTCAGAATCAAGAGCTCAAGACCCACAATACCCCAAAGTTGCCCTAACCCCCAAAGTTGAAAGACCGAATGGCAAAGCACAAGTGTGCCCAACAGCTAGCTTTGCCCGGCCGGCCCTGCAGCTGCTTCTGCTTCCCGCTCGTAGGGAGTTTACCCTAAACCCTAAACCCTAAACCCTAAACCCTAAACCCTAAACGCAAAAAGGGTTTTGGGTTTAGGGAGGTTCCAAAAAAATGATGAGAGAAAGGCAACGAACAGGTGAAGGCATGGCTCAGACTGCAGAATCTTGTGCTGGAGTGAGCCTCAGACCGGGCCCGCCGGTTTAGGGTTTAGGGTTTAGGGTTCAGGGTTCAGGGTTTAGGGTTTAGGGTTTAGGGTTTAGGGTCTTGGCTAGACCTTGGCTGCGAGACACGCTGATCTGACAGGACTTTGGCTTCCAAAAGGTGGACAGCGCTTGTGCATAAACTCCTCGGCGTGGGAAAGACGGCAGCAGTGGTGCCTAGACAGAATGAAGTAACATAGGGGTCGGACATAGTTGCTAATGGTATTCCCTTAAGGTCCCTGTCGTGAACTTATTACTTTCATGACCCCCAAATCCCGTGTGCTTTGCAGCTTCCATCCCTTCCAATGCGCAGGTCAACCCTAAACCCTAAACCCTAAACCCTATCAGGTGCATCTGTCCAGCCCCTTTGAGCGTGTGAGCGGACAGGGATATCGCCGTGGTTGGTAGCCGGGTGATTGTTGGTGTGCAGTCCTTCTCACCTGTTCCAGCACCGTGTTCAAAGTGTGGCGCTTGGCTTTGGCAGCCTTAGACTATATACAATAGATACAGTCGTCTTTCATGCATTACATATTAATAGCCTTGTACTCAAACCCGATTACTTCCACAACCGTGGCTCCGTAGCTTGCCACGGACGCCTGCCTACTGCGCCAGACGTCTGAAATCATCTCGGGGGGAGGGCCCAGAGGAATATTGAGAAGCCCCCCCCCCGTTTGCGCGCCCACCTTAGAGTCCGCTGTCTCCTGCCATAGAAGCCCACGGCATCCCTTGAATGACTTAAAGCACCCGGATATGACGAACATGTTCGCACCTTTTGTATCTACAGTGAAAGGGCAGATGTTCAAAAGCTCTGCGGCTCCAATCCCTTGGTGGAGTGCCAGCTTTCCACGGCACCCACATCATTGCGACCCACATAGCGATACCTGGTGCAGATTTCGGTGCTGCTCTGAGACGCAGACGCCGGCCAAGAGGCTCGTACAGAAACCTCTGGCCCCGCACAGAAAGAAAGTGCGACTTCAGAATTTGGCACTGAGCCTCGCGTTTGAGAAGCAAGAACATGAGAGCACTGCATTTTTTGGAACCTGGATCAGGCCAAGAGACGACAGTTGCCACTCAGATGACACACTGGAGAGACTGCCGCTCGATAATCGAAAGTTGAAGTTGTTCCTTTGTTTTCCCGGGGATGCTCTGAGCAAAGAGCTGTTTTTGGCAACTGCTCATCTTCAGGCGTTGAGAGCTTGCGTATGGCTCCCAGAATCATCCAGATCCATGTGTATTAGCACCTCTTTTGGGTATTGCACGATTGCCGGCTGAGGGCGTGAGCAAAGCTGGCTTGAGGAAGAGTGTCCGACCCCTATCGCAAGGGACATTTTGTCTGCCAGCATCAGAAAACCCAACTTTTCATGGTCAGGTCATAGTGCTGAAGCAGAAAACGAGGCGGCGGCACCCATCCAGTGCAATAGCTGCCGCTGTCAGATTCTGCCTGCTCTTGCGGTCCTCATTGGATTCGTATTAAGATTCGTTGTTGTTGCTGTTGTTGCCCAGGCACAGGAAAGCTCGCAGCTACAAGCAATCAGGCAACTGCAGCAGGACGCCTCAAAGGTTTTGAAATGCCCCGCAGCCGGACTATGAAGCTTAAGATTTTGAGAGGATGCCTAGACATTGTTTCATCACCAAAAAAGCACACACACAAACATATAAACACACACACACATATATATATATATACATATATATATATATGTGCGTGTGTATATGCGTATGTATGTATGTATGTATGTATGTACGTATGTATGTATGTATGTATGTACGTATGTATATGTATATATATATATATATATATGTATATGTGTATATGTATATATGTATATATGTATATATGTATATATGTATATATGTATATATGTATATATGTGTATATATGTATATATGTGTATATATGTATATATGTATATATGTATATATGTATGCATGTATCCATGTATGTACGTACGCACGTATGTATGTATGTATGTATGTATGTATATATGTATATATGTATAAATGTATACAATATACGTTTCTATATTATACCATATATGTATACAGCTTAAACTTGTTTTGTAGCACATACAAAACCTGCGCTGCAGGAGCTCGCAAGCGCTGAAAGCTCTTGAGAGCTGGTGGCCCAGGAGCAGACTTCCACATAGTTCTAGCTCCTTAGGGTTTAGGGTTTAGGGCGTGTCAGCCAGCAGAGCTGATCCCGTTGTACCAGCAGCTGCTTTTTCTGGCATTCCCCACACAGCCCAGATGGAAAAAAAGGGTTTAGGGTTTCCCTGATGTCCTTCAAAAGGCATGCTGAAGACGACGCGCTCCAGGTTGCAAGCCTCGGACATCTGCTAGTGACACTGGCAGAGACAACAGCGTGGCTTTGGCTGGAAAAGAAGTCGCAGTGGGTGGGTCAGCTGGCTACATTTGCGGACGTCCTGCATCTGACGCATAGACATCGTAGCAGCCCTCAAATTTCTACACTTGGGGGCTAGCACTGGCCAGCACTCGTCACCAGGACTAGTTGCTCTAGCTCTGGGCCTATAGCCCTCTCTCTCTCTCTCTCTGCCTTCGAAAGAAAAGATACAAGAAACTGAATATCGCAGGAGAGCACCCCAGCAGATGTTGCATTTCGCCGCACAGGCGTGTTATTTCTTTGGTCAGAGCTCTTGGGCGCCTCGCAGGCGCTCCTTGGCGAGATGGCCCAGAAGCGACTGCCTTCGGACAACAAAACCCATGCTCTGAGGATCTCAGCGTGAGCCCAGAGCCCGATTGGTTTAGGGTTTAGGGTTTCGGGTTTGGGGCTTGCTGTGATAGGGCGTAGATGCTCTGAAGGTTAGGTTTTGGAACAAGCTCGAAAGCTTCGTGAGGTGCGAAGAGCAGCTTTGGCCCGATTGTGGAGGGTTGTCCAACACTTTTCTCCCACCCCACGCCGTCCGAGGCGGCAAAGCCACCCAAACCTATGCCAGCACACTTCAAGGAGAGGGGTGGGGGGGTTTAGGGCATTTGCTTTCTTTTCGGGGGACAGTACTGGTGTCGAGGAGAACGTGCTCCGGTACCGGGCCCATTTGGTGCGACCGACCCCCGAGCTGCGGGAGGCGGGCGAGCGACTTGGGTCGGCTTGCGCGAGGTGGAGGAGATCGAGGGGGTTTAAGCGCCGCCCCCCCCCCCCCACCCCTACGTAGGGGGGGGGCGGCCTAGGCCCTGAGTTGGGTTCAGGGTTTCGGGCTTAGCCGCCGCGTTGCCTTGTTACTGTGCAGCTAGGGGGGAGGGAGTCACAGCTCGCGAGAGATAGACCGGTTCAAGATTTTGTCACGGCACCGAAATACTTTCTTTTTCTGGCATAATTTTGCACATTCGCAGGTATGCCAATGCGAAGCCGAAGCGTGCGGAGGCCAGGGCAACCTTGCGCAACATCTGCGTACTGAAAGAGTACCCACATGCAAGATCATGCAAGGATGCCAGCAAAGTTTTTCTCCAACTTCCCCGAGAACATCAGTCCTGGTCCCAGCGGCAGGATGGCTTTTGGGATAGCGGGCTTTGTGGAGTAGCTGGAATTTCCGGTCGAGGACGGATCCCTTGGTCAAAGCCGCCGTGAAGCGCTGCCTAAGCGGGCAAGAGGCTGGGGGACCAATGTCTGCTACACAGGTTTTTTGTGGCTTGTCTCCGGCGCAGCTCGTGCTCAGGCTACCGCGTTATTCCGACAAGCAGATTACCAACGGAAGCATAACGGCTGAAAAAATTTGCGTCCATTGTGCCAGCTGCCAAACGGAGTTGGGCTCCATGTTGCTTTGCGTGTCCCGCCAAGTGCCGTGACAGGCTTGAGGTGTGCACCATTGCAAGAGAGAGTACACGTGTGCAACAGCATATTGCGCACATGATTTACGTGATTGTACGGCAGGTTTCAGGCAGTCTTGCGGCGATGCTATGGAGCTTTGCCAGCGACGGCTTTTGCTGGTCTTCCTTGTGCTCTCAGTGGCGGCATCTGACTTGCGAAGGGTGCGGCTTCGCAGTGGGGAGTATCCGGCAGCGAGTGCCAGTGAGGATGTGGACGAAACGCTGGCCCGCGTGGGTGGCCTTGGGGGCAGTCCCATGCCAGCAGGTTGCCAACCATGGCTCCATCGCCCAGACATCGCAGCCCAAAGTGGGTTCCATCCCATGCAGCTTGCTTCCACGGTCCTCATTCTTGCTGGACCAGTGGGCGTGACGAGATTTGCTACACAAGACTGGAAGGATTCGACCACGGGTCGGCATGAACGTTACCTGCCCGACCACCGGCGATACAGTCGTGGCGGAAGCCTCTGGGTATTCAACTGGCAGCTGCGAGGAGAGAGCACCGACGAGTTGGCAGAAGGTGAGCAAACCACTTGGCTGGGCCGTGCTATGCTGGTGATCGCAGCGACCCGTGCCATTGCAGAGCCTCATCAGTATCATACTTACTTCTACGTAGTTACCTTCTGCAGTTGGTCGGTTTTTTTCGATTCATTCCCCACAAGCAGCTTATAAGCCAGAACCCAAGTGGACCAGCACACAGCGAACAACCCACTGGAGACAACAGGCGGAAGCCAACCGACTGCTTTGCCACCCCCTAAACCCTAAAGCCTAAAGCCTAAAGCCTAAAGCCTAAAG